ATCTTTGTGCTATGGCCTGGAACTTAAACACCTATATTTTTTCCAGAAGTATATTTATGATTTCTCAGCAAATTAGTTTTTTGCCTTGGTATATTTAAATATATCATTTAAATCTGTATTTGTATTTTTTGAGAGTGAATATCACTCTCCTTGGCTGAATTTTTTGGAAGTCATGCGTTCTGTCTCGATTTATGCGTCATTTTTGTTGTAGTCTTAGGTGCTACCACTGTTAAATCTTGAGGTTTCATTAGGTAATGTCTTGTCTTTTTTAACTTTTATTTAATATGATTTCAAGTAACACCACATTACTCTTCCAAACCGATGTGTTATGCGCTTAAGTATAAAGGATGGGTCTATTTCTTTGAATTGACATAATACAGGTGAGAATACCTTGAAGTTTTGCTATTTTGGGTCTCATGATAATAACATAATGTGGACACTATTAATTATTTCCCGGACTTAATCATACTCTCAAGTTTTTTTTAAATTTCAAAAATATGTGTATTTTGGTAACAAGTTAACACCTACAAAATTATGCAAATCGGGAGCACCTCTTAGCAAAAGAGAATTTAGGAAACACTAACGCCTTATATGAGTACAATTTGAAATATAGTAAAAGCTGTGAATAGATTTATACAACGCATCTTTTACTCGTACATCACTAAAAGTCATTTAGCAATTGCAGTTTCAAATTAGTAGATCCACAAAGTATTTTGTGCATTGACAGTTCATACAAGTTTCCGATTTGCATTATTATACTTTAGGTATCTGGTCTTTATTGATAAGTATCTGTTCAACCGTATTAACCAATGATTTATGGGCGATGTATAACCAGTCAGGTCATGAAGGTAATGAGGCCCTCGTCACACGCAAAATAAATATCCCATTCGGCAACAAAATACTGGCGATTTGGCAGTTCCACCGTGGAGAAATGACGCGTTAGGACTGACGAAAGTTAATTTGCCTTATCTAATAATGACAATCTGGCAGAACTGAAGGCACTCTCCATTAACCTTGAAGTTTGCTACCGTTTGTGTTGAACACTAGATAGGATGCTCAAACTACTGAGTAACGCAGTGTTCAGAAGCAACAGTAATGCACACGAAGCTAATTCCAGTGGGATTCGCGTGTGGATAGCAGGCTTCAGTTTGGCAAGGTCCCAGAAAGCTCGGACGCCTATAAAAAATTGTTTTTCCACCAAGCCACCATGTTTGGCTGTTCATTTGGCGGGAGCTGGTGAGCCTGCAAAAAAACGTCGACGTTGGTGTCGCGTCCCAAACGAAAAGTCATGCATTCAAGAAAGATAATAAAACTAAATGTATCCCTTTTACGTTCAAAACCTGTCGACTTTAGTACAGGCTTTACTAACAGACCTCCTTGTCGGTTAGGGCTAGTAAAAAAAACGACAGCCCAAGGAGGCGTTCCAAGGCACGCCGCAAAAGTCCAACGTTAATGTAGGTTATCGCTTCCTCACACAAATTCGTAATATCAATCATGTAATAATATATTTTTGCGTGGCCTGCTGTGGCAAAACACACTTGCTGAATTTAGGGATTTATTCTTATCGAATAGGCGCGTAGCGGCGGGATGTGAACAACATCGGTAGTCTTTTTTTACAGGAATCAGTTTACGAAGTGGCAACTAAAGGCATGCAAAATCGACGGCCTTAACGATGAAGTGGCGCTTATTGTCACCAGGGCGGACGCATGCTTGAAGGGTTCGATGAGGGTGGCGGAGGGGGCTGCAGAGGAAAGGATGCAGGAAAGCCTCCGGTGAACGGCATTTTGTTACCGTAGAAACTGAAAAATGAGGCCAACATCGCTTCCATGAGAGCGGAGGAGGAGGAGGAGTGAGCGGAGAGATGCGATGCAGAAGCAGGAGAGGGCTTTGCGGCTGGGAAGGGAGGAACGAAAGGCGGGCTTTGGCTACTCGAAGCACCAGAACCCGGAGGCGAAGTGGAGCCAAGAGGGTCACCACCACGGCCCTGTTGGGAGTTGATGAAGGCTGCAAGCACCGGAGGAGGGGGGACACAACCCGGAGGGAAAAGACCGGGCGGCAAAGAGGAAGTAGGGGTAAATGCGGGTGCAGAACTGGGAATGGGTCGGGGCACCATTGGAGGGGGAAAACTAACGGGCGGAAGTTGGGCGCTGTTGGCGTCTAGAACACAAATCCGCAGACGCCGTTCTGGCCACCTAAAAACTAGCGGAAGGACTATCTCCTCGGGATACTGAAGGATGGAGAATTGGCGCTCCAGTTGTTCCAGGAAGTCGTTTGGCAGGTATATCTTAAATAGAATAACATCACAGGTCCGGTATTATCAAGAACAGAAAAATCGCTTAGTAGATGAGCGAGCGCCTTAATTTACGCGTCTAATAATAAAAGTACCTGCAACCATGGGCCACGAGAGACGAAAGGTACGTCCGGGGAAACCATAGCGTCCGTTACACCCGGAGGGACGAGGGTAATGGCGTGTTCGGGTGAGTTCGCGTTGAGGAAAGTGAAGTGGCGGCCATGTTTAAGTCTATCACAAATGGCAAGCGGAAGCAGCTCGCCCGCTTCCAGGGAAAAGTGGACGTCGAGGCAGTCTATGGCGCGGGACGGATGCATCTCCAAACTTGCCGGAGAAAGGGAGAGATGCGCGAGGGGCGTGCACGGCGCCGAGTCGCCCCCGGCCCCGATCGATGAGCCAGGAGTGCCGGGAACTGAGGTGGAGCCGGCACAGGGAAAGGGACCTGCACACGCCAGTCCACCGGCGCTCGAAGTACCCCCACCAGCCCTTCGAAGTCGCATCTCGGAGAGGAGGTCCAATGGCGAGGAAGACGAGTTGGCCGTCACGCAAGTGGGGGCGCCGCCATTGCGGAAGACACTGGGCGATTCGCTATTCTCACCTTCATGAACATAGTTGAAATGCATTAATAAGACACTACAGATGATATAAGGTTAGTGCAAATGTAACGCCCACTTTTTAAATGAATTTTTCGATAGAACTTACAAAAACTCAATCTCTTACTATAATTTCAAAAGTTATTTTCACGAGTAAAAACCTCCCAAGTCATGGATCGAATTTTGTTAAATAAAGGCCTTCCAAGCGAACATTACTCTTATGCACTGACCTGATGTACCACATGGAGCATTAAGAGCCACTCCTAGTGAACGTCTAGTCGATAAGCAAAGTGCGGCTCCGAAATTATGGCGCTGGCAGGGTGTGGAATGCAACACGTGCTGCCACATCAACAAGATGGGCAAAATGGCCTGCACTAGATTTAGAACAAGTAGCAAATTATTCACCTGAAGGACTTTCAAGAGAGGTCTTTTCTGCACCAATCGATGAACGTTGTCTGTGAGTTCGCAAAAGCCAATAAACGCTTTGCTACATCATCACATGCAATGATAAATCAAGATGATTTGAATTACGGAAACGCGATACATCTTCTAAATGACTAAAAAGCACTGTGCAGCCAAAACCCAAACTCATGCAGGAGGATTGCGCGTCATTCCAAAAGTGAGCATTTTAGGCTGTTCTATTTTGCAAGATAACGGGTCTTCTATAGGCTTTACAAGGCTCACAAACAAAGACCCCTTATAGAATTAAAATTCAAGATCGAAATGCGGGTAAGCATAGGGAGAAAGGGGGGCCAATGCAAGTCCTGGATGCACAAAACCAAAACCGACAAGGACCTAAGTGACGAGCAAACTCCAATTTGGAGTAAATTAACTTCACGACAGCGCCAAAGCAAAACAAAACACACGCCCAGTGGAAGGAAGATGCCCCGTAGAAATAATCTTGCCTTCCACTCGTCATTTGAATAAAATCCCCCAGAACCATTGGGTTCAAGGCAAGTTAGGGCCTTGAGAGGGCGCGAACTCACCGGAGGTGTTGCGGGGTTCTTTGCTCGCAGGGAGATCGCCCTGTTTGCTATCCTTCCCCGTTTGTTTCATCTCGGCGTCAGAGGTCGCGGGCGGCGGCGGCGGCGCGTCGCTTTTGGCCGCCTTCGCCCTCGGCGCCCCGTTCGAGCTCACCGAACTGTCCCCCACGACGTCGACGATCACCTAGGTTGACGGTGGAGGCGCAAAAAGGTGTTTATTTTTAACTTAAACAAGCATCCAGTTGTGTGCTTTGGCTTTTATGCAATTATTGGAAGCGACCATTTATTCTACCATCTGTTGCTTACAATACTACACTATTTGAGTGCAGCACCACTGCAATCGTGAAGCTTATTGTGTTAAATCACATCGTAGCGCCTATTTTCTAGATGATGATCAAGGAGAAACCGCAAGCAAATCAGCCGGTGCTAAAGCCGAATTGAACAGTTTTACGTCTCACATTGAGTAAAATACCGAAATAAGTCTCTTAATCCCAAGAAAATGAATAGATCATATGAAGCAAGCTAACACCTTTTCACATGTAACTTGGGGCCATGATGGCCGTTCAAGTGACTGCTTTACCAGGTTGAAATGCAGAGTATGAACGAATTTCCTAGTTTCAGTTCTCGATACCTGCAACCCAAAGTGTATTCGGTCATTAGCATCGCAGAGAAAGCTCACATCGTCTTCACTCCTGCCGCCACCAGCAGTGTGCGTGGCAACGGACGAAGGAGCCTGGTGAAGCGTGGTGACCGAGCCACTATCGTCGGTCTCCATGGCAATGGCGCGATTGCGCTGAGACACGGAGGCGTCGCTTTCACCAGGTAGAAGCTCTGACAGTTGCATCGGCTCAATAGCGACCCAGGAGAAGAACTGCGTGGTCACCCCGGAGAGGTTTGAGCCCTCGCGACGCATGCGCTCGTTGATGTAGTCGGCGAGACCGGGCTCGAGTTCGAAAATGGTCTGACTGCGACGCAAATCGGTCACCAGCAGCGCCCCTCCGGTTGCGCCCTGCTGACGCAGAATCTCAGCCACCTGGCTGCCTGTCCAACGTTGGACTAAACGCAACTCCTCGTCACACAATCCCACAATCTATGGAGAAGGAAGACTTTTATTAACTGAAGTCGGCACTAGCTTCACTTGGCACCACGGCTGCTCCATCATTCAAAAAAGTACTAACGTAAGCCCTGCACTGTACTTGAACATTGCACGCAAAATTGACTAAATAATGTGCCGAATTGGGGTCGCTTCGAGCAAAAAACAGACCTCGTATTGGGGAGAAGTGAGTAAAACGTCACCTATCTTGAAGCTCATTTCAGATAGAGACGAAATTAACAGCATGGGGGTGGGAAATCCCGAAGTATCTTACAAGAACGACTCCATTCAAACAACTGGGGCAAGGATAGGCCCGTAAAGGATTAGGAAGTCCATGTGGCCTGCGTTGCTTTGGTCGGATCTCGATTGACAGGAAAAGAACCACTAAATATAGTAAGGCCGATGGCACATTTGTAAGGACTCGAGAAAAACAATTGCTAACCCATCAACACATACGCTGTTCCAGGGTAAGAAGGACTTAGTTCTTCTGACACCCAATGATCATTGAAAATGGGTAGACAATTCACAGGAGAACAAAGGGTAAGGACATTATCATTGACCGAGTGAGCAAGACCGAAGCCCATGGGGCGCCGATGGGCGTTGAAAGGTGAGGGAGATGGCTGCCCACTTGGAAGACGATTCATCAGGCAGCATGCCACTACAATTGGTCCATGTTTGGGTCGACTAAGGGCGCAGCCTGAAAACCTCTCGTGATGGTAAAACCTGAGTTACATGCATGTGAGGAGTCAGTCAAGACGTGAAGCGCACTTTGGATCTGCCCGATCCCAGTAAGTGCCATAGATGAGACAATCGACACGCATAACAAAGACCTCCGCAATGGAGACACCGGCGCCGGCCGACAGTTTGCCAGGCGATTAAGACACTTGACAGGGAAATTAGTGCCTGCGCACAAAAAGTTCTTTGGGCTCTTCCGACGGCGGCGAAGTCGGCCGCCATGACGCCGAATCATAGCGGGAGTTGTAGAGTTGCAGAGCTAAGGCGGTGAGTGGACGAGCGAGCCGGCTGGTGCTGTGCTGACTTCAAGGGTGCGGACGAAAGCACAAGTGTTCGTGGTTTTGGATCACCCTAGGGTACGTTGATGCGTTCGTGGATTCAAGGCGAAGTCAAAATTGGATGAAGTGAGTTGCACACGGAAGAATTTGGGTGGCATTGGCAAATACCGAAGTGTGTGTGTGTGCCTAATTCTCGTTTCAGTGACTTTCTCTTGGTGTATACCGGTGTGCGCGACCTACACGAGAGCGCAAACGAGGGGGAGATGATCTAACGACCAACACGCACACAATTGCACCGAAAGGTGTGTCGTGCGTGCGCGCAGGCCTGGTCGGAGTTCACGGTAGGCAAACACACGCACGCACGCGCAGGGGTGGCCTCCGCGTCGTGCGCCCACAGCTGACTTGGGCTGTGCGCGAGGTGGGTGGGGGGTGGGGGCGAGTGGTAGGATTAGGCGAGGACCACCAGGTATGAAGCACAAAGTTGGCTTTTGTTTCAGCTAGGGATTAGAAAGTTTATTTGAGATTTGTTTCCACTCGACTTACTAAAGGGGCATAGTTTGAGGAATAAGACCCCAACTGAGAACCTATTTCCCTTGCTGCGATGCTTGATTTGGATGATAACGTTAGCGCTTTGTCATGGATCTTCTGGTATTCGAAACACCAAAGATCGAATAAATGAGCGGTCACAATCGCAACCTATTCCCACCTGATGTTGACAACAGACTCCAACGAATGCCTAGTGGAAGGCGACTGTGTTTGGGCGTCAATAACTTCGTGATAAACGGCCATCGGCCCAGAGTAAATACACACGAGTGCTGGAGGCCATCACATTCGAAGAACGCACAGCACTAGCTGTACAACAAACCAAACGATACTCTCGGATTGACCAATAATCTATTACTTAGAGGAAGCGATAAGTCTTGAAACAATGGTTGTAAGATACGTGGCAATTTTTTTGATTACAGGGTTGCATCCAACGTTTTGAGGTGAAAAATCGGAAAATATGTGGCCACGTTTGAAAGGCATCACTTTTACTGGGCAGTTACAAGCGGGATTTTCTCAGAGTACATCAAAAGGGATTCATCTGGCGATTATCACTAAGTCAGGCGAAGCGAATGACACGACACGGCGGACGTAAATGGTTTCACTAGAGTTGATGGAGTAGGCTACAAGGGCGCCTTGAGGATGGCCGTTGGAAAAAAGAGAAAGTTCTACTTGGTGACTTGCCAATATACACACCTAATTGGGTGGGAAAGCACGAACTACACAGGTACCAGGACCCTAAGTAAACCAGCACCTCCCCGGATGGAGCCAAGAGAGGCGGGGTCGGTCGGTCGGTCGGTGGGGTTTCGGATAGATGGTTATGAAAATTGCCAGCAGTAGTCCACCCCATGGGTTAGGTGTAACTGCGCCTAACCAACTATCACCAAATGCACCACGTGGACCGAAGAAGGGCGGAGCAGACAGGCCAGTGTGACCACAGAAAACTCCCAAGAAAGCAAGCGAGTGAGAAAGGAAGGGAAGAGGCGGGGGAGGAGGCGTTGTACCACTGCGTCCTTTCCCATTACGTTGAAGCCGCCCAAGCCCAGTAAGACTAAAACTGTCAACCAGCTTATCACCGATTTGGACACAACAACTGAAATCGTATTGTGGCCATTAAAGAAGGCTTCTTTCCCTAGATTTCCAAAAAAACATCAATGAAGCACTGCACTATAACCCTACGCTGAAACAGGGTGCAAGTCTACAGACGGGAAATAGCTGTAATTGAAACAAGTAGTGAGATCAAATGGGACACTTTTGCTACGGAAAATGTGAAAGTGAACATAATTTAGTTGAAGTAATTGTAAACAAAGAACAAACTTGAAGAAACAAAACGGCACCATCACCAAAACCTGTGCACTGACATGCGCCCCGTCCTCCTTCCTTTCGCATGGAAGGAGAGGGGATGAGGAGATTAGCGCAATATTCTGGCGTGTGTTAGGCTAAAATCGTCAGAATTTTGCGAAGAATAACGTCACTCGGAGATGGATGAGAAAAGATGAAAACAACACAACACGAGGCCATCCACTAGCGACAAAACGAAAGTCAGCTTTAATGGGGCCATTTTATCATTGAAACAAGGCGAGTGTAAGTTGTTAAAGAAATCGCACATTCACTTCATTGCATTTTGGCACGTACCGCGCCCATAAGGCCGTGTTTCGGCACATAAAAGCGAGTGCACATCAGGTGCCCTTTGTGGTAACTATAGTGAACTGTACGGCAGGTAACACTGGATTCGTTTTGTAAAACAGTTTTTTTAAGGAATTCGCACGAAACCAGTGAAGTCGCAAAATACCAATTACATGCGAAATGGGATGCTTTTTCCCACTTAGGCTCGTGAGGCGTTTGTCGTGCCCGGCACGAATCGCCGAGGCCACGTTGCCCGCGAGTTCACGGATCGCATGTGCCCGCACAATTTGGCCTCTCTAGCCGGCGTACTAGAGCTGCCGGGGGTGCCAACCAAGGCCTAGACAAGAAACCTGATTCCGCGTGTATGTTAAATTGAGGACTACGAGAAATGCGGACGCTCTGGTAGGGTTTCATGGTGAAACTCGGAACGGTCGTGCGCAATCCGATTTCGCACGTAATTCCAAGATCCCGGATCTTCTGCAACAGCCAAACTGCGTTCAAAAAACAATTCAGAGGAGCAAGCAGAAGGCTACTTCCGTACCTCATAGCTTTCCATATTTCGGGTTCGATGACAAGTAACATCATGGATAGCGGAATGCATTAACTAGAATAACTCTTACATCCGTGAAACCAATAACCTAGACTCTCTAGGCTGTAATCTACCACGGAAAAGACCTGTATCACGTGTTAGGGGATTCCATTCTTTTCCGACTGATTTGGTGGGTTGAAAAGTTCGTTGCCATAAAAGGCTATAATATCAATAGCTACTTGTTGTAATAGAGTAGCCAAACAACATTTATCTTATAAGTATGTATGGAGGCGACCGCTAAGTGGATTTTAGAACATCGACCTCTTGACGATGCATTTACGCATTCTACCCTTAACACCCAATTTCAGTCTCTACATTATTTTTCCACAGTGTCCCCCTCCTACATTTGTATGCAGCTATAGAGTTCACTTTAAGCACGAAACATGCTCAGAGAGAACATTTATCGTTTGAGGACATGAAAAACGTTTACTTTTTGTCCATTACCTTCTCTCGCCTGTTTAGCATTTTCCGAGACTCAATGACAAGGAATTCCTTAGCGGATTGAGGATTGAACGTTAAAAAAGTGCAACACAGGTGGGAGCAACTCTGTCAGCTAGTTGACCAGTTTGCGGTTCAACGGCAAGGGATCCAAAGTCGAGCAAGTGAAGCACTTGGGGGGAGCACAGTGGTGTACCCTTAGAAGTAAAGCGACAATTGGGGATAAGCAACCGCAACACGCCGAACAGCAAAGTCGTGCGTCTTTCAGGGATTTCGTGGATGCCAGCCACTTAGAACGGCGCAGTGAAAAAAGGCACACGTGGATTGCTGGCAAAAAAGGAGAGTTCACAAGTGCATCTGGAATGCAGAGGACTATAAAGACCACTAAAAAGCACCGGATTGAAGGAACCGCCGGTTAAGCGTGGGTGCGAAAAGTGCCACCTTACACAGATGGTTGAAGTGACAGAGGGGCAAACTTGCTCGACGGCACTCATTTAAACATCGAAAACGAGCGCGAATGCGTGCACACACGCACCACAACGTGGGTGGTCCACGCTCTCCAGAGAGAGAGAGAGATGAGAGCGAACGAGACACACTTCAGCGTTATCGCGGTAGATCGCGACAGAAGCGATGGAAAAAGAGGGGGCAGGCAAGCAGGCGAGTGGGAGGGCGCGAAAGAGATCTTAATAGCTACACGCGAGTGTAATTAAATTGGCTAGCCCGATGGGGGGGAGAAACGAGAGGCGGGGGAGAAGGTGTTCTCTCCTCCCGGCAAGCGCTTTTCACTTGGCTTCCACGGCAGTCGGGGATGGGCGGGCCTGAGCATGTGCTGCCTCGCGCGGCTCAGCTGCTCCAGCGCATGCTTAAGGCCAGTCGGCCCAGACCGACACGCGCGCGACTTCACGAGGCCCACACCTCCTCAAAAGGCGCAGTGCCGTTAGCGTCGTGGGAGTTAGGCAGATAGAGGCTACGGCGTTAGAAGGTTGCGTGAGAACGGTAACAAACGTTGTGTCTAGATTGCGATGATCTGACATAAATTAGTCTTACCTTGAAACTGAAATAGTTCGGCTGTGGCACAATCGTGAGTAAGTGCACTAAACGTTCAGAGTAAAGTTGGGGCTGGACGCGCCGTTGCGTTAGCAACCGCCAGTTTGTTGAGCATCGGTTGCGTGTGAGGAGTGCTTATCGTTATGGCCAGCTTGGTTAAATCAGAAAAGTGAAACTAACCTGACAATATCGAAAAGGACAATCAACATGAAGGAACAAGGCAAAAATCGATGTATTGGAGGTGGTTTCGTTAAAAAGGACTGAAAGACAATTCGTGGGATTGAAATGAAATGTGAGGTTGTGTGCTTGCCCTAAAACGCCTAAGTGCAAACATTAAACCATCAAAAAGGCTAGTTAGACAAGTGGGAGCGGCTGCCTTGGCGGCTAA